GTGTGTGTGTCTTATGTGTGTGTGTGTCTTATGTGTGTGTGTGTCTTCTCTCACTCAGCCTTACAACCTGCATCTCTCACTCTCTGCTCTTTGAATTGAGGAAGCTCCGAGCGAAACGTCTTCTGTTACAAATAAAGTCCAGTTGTTTTTGTTCTGAACGTTTTTTGAATTCATCGTGTCCTGGATGACTGAGAAGCTTCACCAGCAAACTGAACAACTCACATTCTGAGAAGTGACGATGCAGCAACTTTTTATTTGATATTTTATTTATTTTTCGTTTACTGTGCTTTTATCTGATTGTTTGTTGTTGTTGTGTTGTTGTGTAGCTCATGCGTGTGTGTAAACGAGTCCTGGGGTGAGACGTACAGTTCTGAGGTTTGCACGTGTTGTAAAGTTTCTCGTGGACGCCGTCTCGTGTGCAGTCGAGTGTTTCGGTCAAAGTACTTCTTACTGTTTAACGGACGTCCTTCCAGCAGATATGTGGAGAACTGTGTTCAGGGCCTGTGATACTCGGAGTATACGGTACTTGTGTTTTATTGTTCATTCTAAATTAATATTTACTGCTAATAAAGAACTCCTTCATGGGTTCATATTTGAACGAATGTTTCCGTTTAGTTTAGCTCTGCGTTCTACAAAGTGCTTGAGAAATGAAGTGATGTCTGCAGCCAGACGGGAAATTAAAGATGAACAAGTGTGGGAAGTGTTTTTTACAGATTATTCTTTTCGTCTCCTCAATTAAAAGATGTAGAGAATAAAAATCCAGCCTCGTTTCCTGTCAGCACACTGACATGGTTTAAATGTCACTAATGTGCACGTGCTGCCTTTTGATGAGACGTTCAATGTTCGATTTGTTTTTTCAGCAGACGTTTCATTTGAAACGGCTTCAGGTCTGACGGCTCGTGGTTCACAGCTTATGAAGCGTTTAGATGCAGCACAGGAAGACTCTGGATGAGTTTGGCCCAGGAGTTACTGTAGTTTCCTGCAACAAACTTTCACATCTTTTCTATGAAGAAGTGACGTCTCCAAACAAGTGAAGCTGTCAGAACAAGTGTTTGTAGAAATGACTCAAGTATGTGTACATGGAGGTAAACATGCAATGCTAACAGCATTAGCTTCTCTATGGTGTTTTCAATGTTAAGTTAGCATCTATGCTAAATGTTGCCTGTGGTTAACTGGGTGTTTGGCCTGTTATCGTGCACTCTTTATTAGACGTGCAAACATAAATCAGTGTTTGTTTGTGTGTTAAACGTTAAATAAACAGCTGCCGATGAAGGACGATCAATCACTAATAATCATCTGATAATCCCGTCACATCTTGTCAACACTCCCACATGGTTGTTTAAATAAAAACTGTAAAAGTCTTTGTGTCTGTTTTTTTCCTTGTTAAATAAGTGCTTTAAATGAGGCCGCACCTCCTGCTGCCACTGGGTCAAAATGACCTGCAGGAACCTTTGGCCTATTTTGACCCGAGGGCAGCAGGAGGGTGTGAGTCTGCAGCTCCAAAGTGTCTTGATTAAGCAGAACTTTCTCAAACAGATTGGGTGGGGGCTAAAGTTCAGCACTGGCTGATGTTCCAGATGTGCTGGTAATGAGCAGTGAGTGGAGCTCCTTAAAGTGTCAGACAGAACCAGTGAAGTGGACCAGCAGCTAAAGCGCTGCCAGGTAAAGTGTTGCAGCTTTAAGATGTACAGATGTTGTTCTTTAAGGTCCGGTTCTACAGAGGGGAACCCTTCAGCACATGTGGGGGTTTCAGGAGCCCAAGCAGACGTTCTTGCATAACAAAGACTGTCAGAAAAGCTCATTACAAAAGATAAATATTACAGAAAACATTTAAAATATACAGAATGTTCATGTGAAGGCACAGCTGTTGACGTGTTTCAACACAGATTACAAATTCTTTTACAAAGACTTAGTGCTTGCGTTAAAAAAGAACAAATATACGGTTCAGTTTGTTGGAGCCTGCTAAGAATGAATCAGTTTCCCTTATAAAAGCATCTTTGGTTGTCCAGCTGACTCCTACAACTGCACGTGTGAATTCATACTTCATCTTATTCATGTGGACCAACAGCTGGAGGACAGCTGATACACGGAGAAGCTCTGGAGCAGCTCAAGTTACTGCGGTTGTGTTGTCCTGCAGTGGACGTGTCCCCGCCGTCCTGCTCCGTCAGAGGAGGATCGACAAACACTCTGGAGCGCTGAGCAGAAACTCCATCACTCTGCTGAACAGAGAGAGAAACAGTCAGAACTTACACAGACTTTAAAACACGCATCAAAACATGACTAAACGTAACAAACGGTGACGGGATGACAGCTGACAGGTACCAGCTGGTCACCTTGCCCTGATGGGAAGATCGTCAGAGTGTTGTGATGAGCAGTTTTCTCTACAATCTTCAACCAGGACAAGCAACTGTTCCACCCTGTCTGAAATCTGCAGTCAATGTTCTCATCTCCAAGAAGTCCAGAACCGGCAGCCTGACCGACTTTGGGCCAGTTGAACAGACACGTTTTATCACGGAGGGCTTTACTTGTACTGAAACATCTCTCAAGGCTTTGACATTGTTGAAGCACTGGATGCTAAGGATTATTGTGCTGCACTTTTCTTAGACCTGTCTAAAGATTCTGACACTGTGGATCAGAACATCTTGTATCATAAACTCTCAGAAACTGGTTTCTCAGAACACACCATTGGTTGGTTCTCTAACTATCTTTCAGACCGGAGGCAATGTGTTCAACATAATGGTACTTCCTCCAGTTATTTAACAGTCAACAATGGTGTACCACAAGGCTCAATCTTAAGGCCCACCCTCTTTACAATCTACATAGGTAATGTAGGTCACAGCATCCCTGATGCATCCATACATTTCTATGCTGATGACACAGTTGTTTATTGTCGAACTAAAACAGTTGCTAAGGCTTTCCAGCTTTTGAAATCTGCATTTAACATCATCCAGACTGATTTGTTTTCCTCAAACTTGTCCTAAATGCCGATAAAACCAAAGGGATGCTTTTTCAAATAGGAAGTTGGTCCCAGCAGTTCTTCCTCTGATTTTATCCTCAAATGGTGTCCCCATTGAGTTTGTTGATTCCTATAAATATTTGGGTATCTTGGTCGACTCACATCTCTCTTTTAAGCTCCATGTGGAAAACTTGGTAAAGAAACTGAAAATTAAACTGGGTTTGTTTTTCAGAAACAGATCCTGTCTAACCCTGAATGTTAGGAAACACCTTGTATCTGTGACTTTGCTTCCCTCAATTGATTATGGTGACATTATTTACATGAATGCTCCTACAAGAACCCTGCAGATGTTGGATGCTGCAGATGTTGGATGCTGTCTGTCATGGTGCACTAAGATTCATAACTGGCTGTAACTACCGTACCCACCACTGCACCCAGTATTCACTGGTTAACTGGTCACCATTAACTTCACACAGACTCTCCCACTGGTACATTTTCATCTTTAAATCACTTCCTGGTCTGCTGCCTTCATACATCTCCTCCTACATGTCTCTGTGTGAGTGCAGCTACAGCGTGCGCTCTCAGGACATCATTACCTGCAGTGTTCCCTCAGTGAGGACTGAACTAGACAAAAGGACCTTCTCCTACTCTGCTCCTGTTTCCTGGAATATCTTGTAAAAAGATCTGAAGCTCTCGACCTTTGACCTCTCTAAGTGTCTCTAAGAATCTGTTGGACTCCTGGCAGGGACCAATGCAGACATGTTCCTGTTTTTAGTTTTCTACATTCACCTTACAATCTAGTTTTTTTTTTTCAGTACTTTTACTTTTGACTGTCCTTTTGGTTGCTATTTTGTTTTGATTTGTAAAAAGAAGAAAAAAAAAGAAATTAAAATTTTGTATGCCTCATTATGATTGTCTATTGTTGTTGTTGTTACTCATTGTTGTCATCACTCTGTTAATATCAGGTGTCTCTTGTAAATGAGTCCCCGAGGCTCAATGGGATTAACCTGTCAAAATAAAGGTTGAACGAATCTCTCAAGCATTGATCACCAGTGTGCTTACAGACTGGAGAGATCCTCAGAGGATGTCACTGCCATAGTCCACCATCTGGAACCCAGTGGAACCATGTGAGAACAATATTTATTGATTACACTCACTAAAATCATCCTTATTATACTGATCAGCAATGAGTCTGACGTCAGTCTGTCTTCACTAAGTGGAGCAAACTGGTAAGCTTGAACCCATTTTTACTTCTGCCATCACAATCAGCACTGGTGCACCCCCAGGCGGTGCGCTGAGCCCAACTCTGTTCCTGTTTTACACATGACTGACCATGGTTACCTGTGTCTGTAGTTACCCATGTCCTTTGTTACCTGTGTTTACGGACACCTGTGTCTGTGGTTACCTATGTTCATGGTTACCTGAGTCTGTGGTTACCTGTGTTTGTGGTTACATAAGTCTGTGGATGCATGTTTCTGTGGTAACTTGTGTCTGTGGTTACCTGTGTCTGTGGTTTCTTGTGTCTGTGGTTACTTGTGTCTGTGGTTACCCATGTCTGTGGTTACCCGTGTCTGTGGTTACCTGTGTCTGTGGTTACCTGTATCTGTGGTTACCTGTGACTGTGGTTACCTGTGTCTGTGGTTACCTGTGACTGTGGTTACCTGTGTCTGTGGTTACCCGTGTCTGTGGTTACCTGTGTCTGTGGTTACTTTTGTCTGTGGTTACATGTGTCTGTGGTTACTTTTGTCTGTGGTTACTTTTGTCTGTGGTTACCTGTGTCTGTGGTTACCTGTGTCTGTGGTTACTTGTGTCTGTGGTTACCTGTGTTTGTGGTAACCTGTGTTTGTGGTAACCTGTGTCTGTGGTTACATAAGTCTGTGGATGCATGTTTCTGTGGTTACTTGTGTCTGCGGTTACCTGTGTCTGCGGTTACCTGTGTCTGCGGTTACCTGTGTCTATGGTTACTTGTGTCTGTGGTTACTTGTGTCTGTGGTTACTTGTGTCTGTGGTTACCTGTGTCTGTGGTTACCTGTGTCTGTGGTTACCTGTTTCTGTGGTTACCTGTGTCTGTGGTTACCCGCGTCTGTGGTTACCCGCGTCTGTGGTTACCCGCGTCTGTGGTTACCCGTGTCTGTGGTTACTTGTGTCTGTGGTTACTTGTGTCTGTGGTTACCTGTGTCTGTGGTTTCTTGTGTCTGTGGTTACCTGTGTTTGTGGTAACCTGTGTCTGTGGTTACCTGTGTTTATGGTTACATGTCTGTGGATGCATGTTTCTGTGGTTACTTGTGTCTGTGTTTACATGTGTCTGCGGTTACATGTGTCTGTGGTTACATGTGTCTGCGGTTACTTGTGTCTGTGGTTACTTGTGTCTGTGGTTACCTGTGTCTGTGGTTACCTGTGTCTGTGTGTTGCTGTCCAGGTTGTGTTGGATGTTGTGCGTGTGTGCTGCTGAGGCCATGCTGGGTGCAGTCAGATGGTGGATGCTGGTGTTCTCCTTGTTGGTGGCTCCACTGGAAGTAATAGGAGCTCTGAGGAGGATACTGGCCCATGCTGACACGTGGAGGAGACAGGTTGTCTTCACCTGTTGGGTCAGAAGAGAACTGCTGCTCAAACATGCAGCTGCTGTGAGGGGCTGCCGGGCGCCCCTGCTCATTCTGGTTCAGTCTTACATTTCCTGGCCAATGTTCAGGACTTGGGAACGTTTGGTTGTGTGGATTTTGGCTCTGGAATGCGGGAATGGTCTCATGTCCATTCGGCACTGTGCCGACATATGGCAGCTCTAGCTGACTGGGGGAGCAAAGCTGAGGGCCGTTGTGTTTTTCTAATGCCCCGGGCCTTTGAAAACACGGTGCACGGTGGCCAACAGGCATAATGTGCGAGGCACTGAATTGGCTACAAGGAACCAGGGCAGGCAGAACGTTGGCTGCACTGGGTTTTGGAGCAGAACTCTGGAGAAACTGACTGGCCCCTGTCATTGCAGGGCTCTGTTGACTGTTGTGATGCAATAGAAGCTGGTTTGGCTGCTGGACCAGAACAGAACTGCCTTGAAAGTAGCTGGTGGGCCTGACCGATGCCTGCCAACAGGACTGAAGGACTGGGAGATTATCATTAGTGGAGGTTTTAGGAACAGTAAGCTCTGGGAGCTCAATAGACGGGCTGAAAATGTCCTGAAGCTGCAGCTGCTGAAGAGGCGGCAAGATGCCGTCAGCCGAAGGGATCAGGGAGCTCTGGTGGGAGTGGTTCTGGTTCGCACTGAACATCTGAACAGACCCTACCAAGCTTTGCCCTCCAATCACTGGACCTTCTCTGTTAGCGTTGCCACTGTTGACAGGAGAGTAAGTGCCATCATGAGTCTGGAACATCTGCGGCTCACAGAGTCCAGGGGTGGAGAAGCCAACCTCAGTCAGACAGCTGGACATCTGGAGACACTGCTCCTCTTTCTCCTTGAACACAGAGTCAATGAAGTCAATGATGTCGTCAGTGATGACGTCGTCCAGCTCTGACTCCAAGCTCCGCTGTGGCTCCTCCTCCTGGTGGAATCTCTTCAGGCAGTTGTCCCACTCTCTCAGCTCTGCATCATCCACCTCCAGGTGCTGCAGAACCGTTTCAAAGTCTCCACTTTTGGTCAATTTCTCCAAGCTATCGATCACAGCCATCACCGACTGCTTGGCCTCCTCCTTCAACATCACACCTGTGGGGGCTGCCGCATCATGCTCCTGCCATACGTTACTGGAAAAACTGACTAGGGCACGGCTGTCCATGAACACCTGGTCAACGGGTAGGGGGGGATCCAACTGGTCCATAGATAGTGGGGAATCAGTCTTCTGGGTGTAGATGGTTTCATCCTGTCTCAGGAAGCAGTCCAACAAAGAGCTGGGGGCCCCATCCTTCTTTGGGTCTTTGCTGCCGAACATTTTGTTGAACTGGAACTGGGAGACGTCCACGGTGGGGCCCGAGTTGTAGAGGATGGCTTCCCCTGTGGAGCAGCTGAAGGGCAGTTGCAGCCTCCGCTGACGCAGGTACTCCTCCCCTTCAGCATTTCTGAAACAGAAGCGACGGCATTGATGTCAGTGATGCTGACAGCTGACACAGAAGTTGCTGTTGGCCTCAGACACTCACGATATAGCTTTCTGATATGCTATGATGAATTCAGGCCGTCTGTCTTTGTAGATCAGCTTGGCGTTGGCCTTCACCCACACCCAGCCGTTGGACTTGCTGAGGAGCCGGAACACTGTCAGACCGCTCTCTCCCGTCTTAATCACTATCACAAACAAAAGAAAAAAAAAAAATCAACATTAACCTCCTAGGACTTGGCATCCACATATGCAAGAGTTCGGGTCTTAGGAGGCTAACAAAGACAAGTCAGGAATGTAGAAAAACCAACAGCCATGAAAACTGCTTAAGCATTTAAAGGGACAAGAATTAGAAAAATATCTGTGGAAATGTTGAACAGTGCCAACATCAATCTTTTCTAAAGCCCACATAGTATTTGGGACTTCCACTGTACAGTAAGGAAGTAAGTTTTATTTATATAGCACATTTTACAGGTCAGAAACCACAAAGTGCTTTACAGAATACAAGACACAAAAACACAAGATAAAAGATAAAAACACAAATGATAAAAGATAAAACAACATATGCATGACTTAAGACAAAATAAAACTAATTAAAAGCCAATCTAAACAAATGTGTCTTCAGCTGCTTTTTAAAAGTATTAAGAAAATCAAAGCAGCACAAAGTCAGAGGCAATGCATTCCACAGTCTGGGGGCCACAGCCCTAAAAGAGTTATCCTCTCTGGTCTTAAAATGAGTTCGTGGGACCATTAACAGCTTTGACTGGAAGATCTGAGGCTCCGAGAAGAGGAGTAGGGCTTTAAAAGGTCAGAAATGTAGACTGGAGCTTCACCACTCAGGGCTCTAAAAGTAAGAGCTAAAATTTTTAAATGAATTCTTAAATGTACCGGTAGTCAATGTAAAGAGATTAAAACTGGTATTATGTGCTCTCTTTTCCTTGTGTTGGTTAAAAGCCTTGCAGCAGATTCTGAACTGTCTGCAAACGATCAAGATCCTTCTCGGTCAAACAAATGAAAAAGCTTACAATAATCCAATCAGCCTAACATGTATGTTTTGGGTCTGTGGCAGGAAACCAGAGCACCCGGAGAAAACCCACGCATGCACGGAGAGAACATGCAAACTCTACCCAGAAAGGCCCCTGGACCGAGGTTTGAACCAAGGACCTGCTCGCTGAGAGGCAGCAGCTCTACCAGTTGCGCCACCGTGCTGCCCTGGACTGGTTACACTCTAGCAAATTCTCTTGTCACCCTGGTGTTTTTCACATGCTTACTTTGGCCAAGAAACACTTTTGGTGGCAGTATATGAACCAAGACGTTTGAGATTTTGTTGCTGCCTGCTCCACCTGTGCAAGGAATATGAATGGTAACCAACCCCCGGCTGGCCATCTCCAACCTCTACCCATCCCGAGCCGTCCTTGGTTCCACATCTCCTTGGACTTCATCACCGGTTTACCTCCATCTGCAGGTAACACAACCATTTTGACTGTGATTGACAGATTTTCAAAATCTGCTCACATCATCCCCCTTCCCAAGCTCCCCTCAGCCTTTGAGACAGCCAAACTCTTAATCCAGCATGTGTTCAGAATACACGAGATCCCCTCGGACGTGGTCTTGGATCGAAGACCCCAATTTGTCTCTCAGGTATGGCAGAGTTTTTTGTAGTGCCCTGGGGGCTTCAGTCAGCCTCACTTCTGGTTACCACCGCCAGTCAAATGGTCAGGCTGAAAGATGTAACCAAGAGCTGGAGGCAGCCCTGAGATATGTTGTTGAAATAAATCCCTCTGCTTGGAGTGGCCAACTGATATGGGTTGAATATGCCCACAACACACACACCTCATCGGCCACCGGTTTGTCTCCCTTTGAGGCTTCTGTGGGTTACGCACCCCCCCTTTTTCCCAGTCAAGTGGCTGACATAGCTGTTCCTTCTGTTCAGCACCATTTCCGCAGGTGTCACAGGGTGTGGCGTCAGACCAAGGCGGCTCTTCTGCGCACGCAACATAGAACAAGAAGATTGCTGACCGTCACCACTCTGCAGCCCCCTACGTACAAGGTGGGACAAAAGGTATGGCTCTCTACCCGCAACATCACCCTAGAGAACATGTCCTGAAAACTGGCTCCCTGCTTTATTGGACCCTTCCCTGTGACCCGCAGCATCAACCCTTCAGCGGTAAGACTGCAGTTGCCCGCCTCCATGCGGGTCCACCCTACTTTTCATGTCTCACAGATCAAACCGGTCTCTTGAGTGTCCAATGAACCTGCCTACCAACCTCCCTCCACCCGCCAGTCTCATCGACAATCACCCAGCTTTCACGGTCAGACGCATCCTAGACGTGCGTCGCCTGGGCTGGGGTTTCCAGTACCTCGTCGACTGGGAGGGATACTGTCCTGAGGTGAGGTCCTGGATCCCCAGGTCATTCATTCGAGACTCGAGCCTAATAACCTCCTTCTTCAAGGACCATGCTGAGAAGCACTTCAGGTCGCCTGGAGGCGATCTTTGAGGGGGTGGTAATGTTGGAGTTTACTACAGCTGCTGCTCTGCGGGCACCTGCACAGCTGAGAAGAATCTGGCTGATTGTCATGCAGCTGCTGCTCTGAGGACATCAACATCCACACAGCTGAGAAGAATCCAGCTGATTGTCACCTGAAGTATAAAGAGCAGCAGATGTCTCATCTCGATGATGGAGCATTGAGTCTGCTATGGTAGTAATGCTTCTAGCCTGTAGTATGACTTTTTATAATTGTTTATTGTTGTTGCTGTTGTCCATTGTTGTCATCTTTCTTTGTTGAAATCAGGTCTCTCTTGTAAATGAGTCCTCGAGGCTCAATGGGATTTACCTGTATAAATAAAGGTTGATTGACTATGATTCATTGTTGTTCAGCGTAGGACTGACCTGTTCGCTCTTGCCTTTGCAGTTAAACTCTTGGTGATCTACTCCAGTTCTGGACCTTTGTGAGTGACCTATCCTGGAACTCTTTGGAGTTCTCCTCAGCTGCTTTCCTGTGCCTTCCTGCCACTCGTTCTACTACTTTTCCACAAGAAAGTAAGCCAAGCTCATCCTGCCAGCATTTTCCTTTTTGGAGGAACTACCACTAATCCTTGCCCTTGCTTCCCCAGGGATCCTGAGCACTGTAAATAAAATTCACTTAACTAATCTTTGGTCTTGTAGTCTGTTCACCTCAGTCTTTGCATCTGGGTATCCGCCAAACATAATGCATCTTATAGTCTGTTAATCAAAATACTGTGTTCAACAGTGTCAAAGGCAGATGTTAGATCTAGGAGAATCATCACTGTGGATTCTCCAGAGTTGGCTGACATCAAAATATCACTGGAAACTTTAAGTTCCTGTTTTTAGTTTTCTACATTCGCCTTATAATCTAGCTGTTTTTGCTACTTTTTTGCAATCTTATTTTAATTTGTAAAAAAAAAAAAAACCTGTATGACAAAATTTTAATAATTGTTTATTGTTGTTGCTGTTGTCCATTGTTGTCATCATTCTTTGTTGAAATCAGGTGTCTCTTGTAAATGAGTCCTCGAGGCTCAATGGGATTAACCTGTAGAAATAAAGGTTGAATGAGAAGTAAAGCAGTCTCTGTGGAGCGAAGCTTTTGAAACCCAGACTGAAACTTGTCAAAGATCTCATGTTTTTCCATGTGAGAGATTAGCTGCTCAGCTACTACTTTTTCAAGAAGCTTTGAAAAAAACGAGATCTTGGAGATTGGCTTATAATTTTCAAACTTTGTAGGATCCAGATTTGCTTTTTTAATAATGGCTCACCAACAGCATGTTGAGTGAGCTTGGAAACACACCTGTTGAAAGAGAAGCATTGCAGCAATCTACTACACAAACATTCATACAGCACTCTACTACACACACACATTCATACAGTGCTCTACTACACAAACATTCATTAAGCGCTCTACTACACACACACATTCATACAGCACTCTGCTACACAAACATTCAAACAGCACTCTACTACACAAACATTCATACAGCGCTCTACTACACACACACATTCATACAGCACTCTACTAAACAAACATTCAAACAGCAATCTACTACACAAACCTTCATACAGCGCTCTACTACACACACACACACATTCATACAGCACTCTACTACACCAATATTCAAACAGCACTCTACTACACAAATATTCATACAGCACTCTACTA